TTAAAAAGAAAATTTTAATTTTACATAAATAGTCCACACTTGTCTATAAGCCACGGGTGTTCATGTTGTAACATGAGATATTCATACTTATTTTTTTTTTTGGTTTTACTTAAATACTTACCAGTAACACGCACAAACACAGTAAATGTTTTTTGTTTTTTTTTCTGAACAGTGCCTGTAACACGGCTGATTAAAAAAATAATACAGTAGTCTACCAGGAAGTCACTGATCAAGAGAGACGTGTATTGGGCAGCTATACGAGCACCTGGGTGTGACGAAGCTAAATGTTTTGGAGGCATGAAGCTCGTTAGCCCATCAAAAAAAAATCCATAAATTAGCCGCAGCATTGTATAAGCTGCAGTGTTCAAAGCATGTGAACAAAGAAGCGGCTTACAGTCCGGAAATTACGGTAGCTAAAAACTAAAAGCAATAAAAGAAAATAAAAGCTACCAAATACTATCTAAATATATCTAAAGTCGCAGTTTAATACAATATTATATTACATTATTATTGCTTAATAGTCATTATATTATTATTATTATTATTATTATTGTTGTTTAGTGTATATCTTAGATACTTATATACTGTTTATTTTTATACTTTATATTTTTACTAGTTTTGGATGTAACTGGGACCTTGAGTACAAAGTTTCGTTCCACCTCCTGTACCACATGTGATGCGAGTGACAATAAAGAATTTTGAGCCTTGATCTAAAGCCCAGCTAAAAGCTAAACTAAGGTAGCAATGAACTAAAAGTGGCAAAAGGCTAGCTAAAAGTATCTAAAGTCTAATAGTGTGAAGAGGCTAGCTTGAAGGTACTATTTAGTAAAAGTCTGGATACAATATAAAAGTAGTAAAAGGCATTAGAAGCTTAAATGTAGTGACATAGTAGCTAAAAGCTAAATGAAAGCAATGTTTTTAGGCAACTGAAGAGATCTCAATGGATTTTTTATCAGAAAAATAAGTGTAAATAAAGTTAAATGTTTTGAAAAGTGTAAAAGTTATAAATAAAAAAAAACAGAAGTCAAAGCACCAAATGAACTGAACATTTTAATATACAAGCTAAAACAGCAACAAGTATGCAGAATTAAATTGTAAAAACAAAATAAAAACAGGAAAATGGGACAGAGTTCTGGGTTCCCTCAGCAGCTGCAGGTGCCTCAGCAGCTGGAGGTGCCTCAGCAGCAGCTGGTGCCTCAGCAGCTGCAGGTGCCTCAACAGCTGCAGGTGCCTCAACAGCTGCTGGTGCCTCAGCAGCTGCTGGTGCCTCAACAGCAGCTGGTGCCTCAACAGCAGCTGGTGCCTCAACAGCAGCTGGTGCCTCAGCAGCTGGAGGTGCCTCAACAGCTGCTGGTGCCTCAGCAGCCGTCTCTCTCTGTGTTTCAGCTCAAACATCAGGCGTCGCTGAAAGCTCTGAACAACTCGACAAATGAAAGCTGAACTTCAGCCTCGGTTCATTTTCTCCTCTCTGTGTGTTTTGACCTCAGTCATGGAGAGCTCAGAGACCTCCTCCCAGTTCAACTCCAGCGAGAGCGTGATGGGCCTGAGCACCCTCACCGGACCCGACCACCCCGCCGCTATCATCATGGACTCCTTCAACAGCGAGTCTTCTTTCCTCTGCTCCTCCACGCCTCCTCCCTGCGCCTCCTCTCCCTCCTTATTCCACAAAGATGAAGACCTGCAGCCGCAGGGCACCAAGTTCATCACAGCAGTAAGAGCTTGATTTGCTTTGTGCTCGTTCTTCTGTCAGTTTGGCTTCCAGGAGTGGGTTTAGACTTTTTTTTTCTTCGGCTTTTTGTCCTCTTCAGGATTCTTGGTGCCGTTTGAGAGTCAGCTGTTTATGTTTGTCCTTCTAAAATGAGTGAAAGTGTTTTCATTTGGGTTGCCATGTGCAGCAGGTGGAGTCGTTAGGTGTGGCTAAACACGACACCTCTTTGTGAATCTTCAGGGTCTAACACCTCCTCCCATCATCGGATCAGTCCGAGACGCTTGTTTCAGCTACAACCGTCTCCAAAACTGCTTGAGAAATACTTTTAACTGAATCTCACTGAGTTAGCACTGTGTGCGCATTCTCCTGCACTTCTGTTCTCCTAAAAACACAGATGTTCATTTTGGGTCGTCATGAAAGCAACATACACGTTAGTTTCTTTAAGATGCTGAGTTGGCAGAAAAGATGAGTTAAGCTCATGCCATCAGATCGTTCTGTGATGTTTCTGCTCTTTTCTCTTCTGGAGGACTGTTTTTAGCATTTCAATTTATAAACATATATCAACAAGAGTCAATCTTTTAGCTCTTTAAAATTATTTTAGGTTCTCTAAAAAAGCCTTCAAAGCCCTGGATGTTCGTGCCAGGTTCTGAGCTGAATTGGATTAGTATAACTGCGGTAAAGAAGCAGAAATATTTTCTGTGAACAGACTAACAAGTGCAGAGGTTCTCAAATTTTTGGGGTTCAGGGACCCCCTCATAACCCTCATTATTAAATTATTTTGTTCAGTTTGTCTCTTTAATGCAATGGAAACATTTATGTACCATAAATCCTTAAGACCTGCTCTTTAAGTGTTAGTACAATTTTTATACTTTGAAACATGGAGTATTTTTCATTCAAGACGCACTTAATTAACAAAATGCTTAATTTCAACTTCCAAAAATTACAGTTTTGAGAAGATTAGCAGTATCAAAAACCACTTTACCACTGAACATAATCCACGTCTTCTAATTATTACAGAAAACTCTTTTTACATAAAACTGAACAGAATCATAACAGCAGTAGTCAGACCAAGTAACAGGACTTCATTTGTAAACTGAATGATGCTGGAATGCAAATAGTGGGCAGGCCGGTGAGTGGGGGGGGGAGTCTGGGGTCCTCCTCCAGAAAATTTTGAATAAAGTAGATGTGATTTCCTGCATTTTGGTTTATTTTAACAGGTTGTTAAA